ATCTGAGACTCTATCAACCTGGTTCACACTGTTCACCCCACCCTGGAGATTCCCCGAGGCCCTGCCTCACCCAGCTCTCGGGATCACCCAAGCTGTTTCCAGTGGCTTTTCCATATGAATGGCTTATCTTGGCTCATGCTGTAGATTCTCCTAAATTCTCTCAAACAAGTAGCATCTGGCTTCAGTGTGCCCCATACTCTCAGTAAGTTGCTCCAGGCCTGGCACTACCAGCAGTGAGCCTAGATTCACAGCTTGATTGCTCCTGGGCACCTTCGAGGCCAGCACAAGTAGCAGTCATCTGCAGATTGTTTTGTAGCTAATGCTGTGTGACCCTGGACAGAACGCAGTCATTGGCTGACCTTGGACGTGCTAACAGCAATCAGGACTCAACTACAACAAGGTGTAACAGCCCACACACAGTTGGCACACCTTGAATACCCAGCCTGGGTAACAGGGGAGTCTGTGTCACTGGACCCTACAGGATATCTACTACATTAAGCCGCTCTATAGAGCCTGGACAATATATGGCTCTACCTAATACATAGAAACAAACATCAAAATGAGGAGACAAAGGAGGCTGCCAAAATGAGGACAAGAAAACAAGGCCCAAATGAGAGAACAGAATAAAACACCAGAAAAAGAACTAAACAAAATAGAGAAAAACAATCTATCAGAAGCAGAGTTCAAACCACTGGTTATAAGGATACTCAAAGAACTTAGTGAGGACCTCAACAGTATAAGAAGATCCAGTCAGAAACAAAGGATACACTAATTGAAATAAAGAACCATTTACAGGGAGTCAACAGTAGAGTAGATGAAGCTGAGAATCGAATCAGCGATTTAGAGTACAAGGAAGCAAAACAATCATTTGGAATAGCAAGTAGAAAAAAAATCCAAAAAAAGAGGATAGCAAAAGGAGTCTCTGGGACAACTTCAAGTGTATGAACGTTCACATTATAGGGATGCCAGAAGAAAAGAGAAAGAGCAAGAAACCTACTAATAGATACAGAAAAATTTTTGATGGTTGTCAGATGGGAGAGGGGTCAGAAGGATAATGAAAAAGGTAAAGGGATTAAGAAGTGACAACAATTCAATTAACAATGAATTGGTTGTTACAGAATATCCACAGGGATCTAAAGTACAGCATAGGAAATCGAGTAGCCAAAGAACGTATCTGCGTGACCCTTGGGCATGGACAATGATTGTGGGGATTGCCTGAGGGATTTGGGGGGTAAGGCTGATTGGAGGGGACCCAATGAGGAAAAATTGGGGACAACAGTAATAGCACAAACAATAAAATATAATCTAAAAATAATACAGTACAATAATTAAAAATGTAAACGTTGTACTTGACTCCAGATTTATTAATTAGAACACAAGTCACATTCAAAGGTGAGGCGTGACTGTCACTAATACAATGCTGCCTACCCTGCAAGGATCCTGGTCTACCCACCCTCTAATTACCAAATAGCTAAGTGCTCGCTATTCTTGAAAGACTGGTTCTTAAGATAGCTTCCTCGCAGGGAGGAGAAACACATTTTAAATACAATGCATCAGGGGTGACAAAGATGAAATTTCAACTGGTTGTTTTCCTTTTTCTCCGTGCCAAAGTCAAAGAAAAAAAATAAAAGCAAGAAAAAGAGCACTCTAACTGGCTTCTCTAAAATTGCAAAAAGTGGATTCAGGGACACCTGGGGACTGACAGAGTATGCATACTATGCATATGGACTGACCAAATACTCTTCCAATTCACAGTCTTGTATTTAAATTGGTAAATACCCAATAATTTCAAGACCCCATCTTTTTAAAAATGGCTGTATTATTTAAACCTTCCCAGATTTTTAGTTTTAGAATGGCTTTTAATTTGGATCTCCCTGTTACATGTTCAATTACAATGTGACCTTCCAATACCTGCATTAGATTATTATAATTAGGTAGACAGATATGAAGTGTTTTAGCATGCATTTATTCTCAAAGGGTGTACTTTGAGGACATATTCTCTGGGAAAACCTCACCTATAAGAATGAGGAAAATAAAATTCTAGTTAAATTTCTATTTAGGACCAGAGGGATTGTAAGCAATGAAGGTATGAAGGAAAATTTGTTCCCATGTGAACATGTAAACATGACCTAATATGGCAATATGAAAAAGACAAAGAAAAAGACATAAGATCTGGGCTTTAAACCATTAAAAAATAAAAAAGAAGTTCAGTTTTTCAAAGGATATAGCAAAACCTAGACCTGCAGGTCTAAAAGAACTCTACGGAATAATTCAGATTATCCCTTGCCTACCTAAAATTCCCACTAATTAATCATCTAAAGACAGCTTTGACTCCCTTTGTCACGAGTCACAATGCTTTTGGTGATATATGCTAGAATCTGCCTTCAGCCAATAGTGGTTCTATATGTCAATTATAATTTTTAATTTAGATTTCCGAATCCCCTTCAGGAATGTAGTTATGTTCCATTCTACCTTAAAAATAATAATAAAATTAAAGCTGTGCCTTCCTTCCATACTTCGTATTAAGAAAAGCAACTCCTAGTAGTTGCATGACTTGTATAGTTTTGAAACAAGGAATTTGTTTTTATTTCTCTTCCTTTTTACAACTATACTCCTGGTTCAGATGTCATCTGCCTAAAATACCTAAGATTAAATGTGAATTCCAAAATACACTATTAAGGACCTGTTCTCTAAGGGTTTGTCAAACCTGCTTGTGTGCAGAGTGGCAGGTGGCCAATCTCATTACACAGGTTTTCTGGTTACTGCTCAGATTCTGTGCTCCTGTGTGCGTAGCTCAGCATCACGGTGCTTCTCAACTCTGCAGACGTATTTACCATCCGGCAGGACCCTAAGTCTAAGTGCCCCATGTCTGTTCTGAGCATCCACTTTACATTCCATATATCTGAATCTCAATAAGGACAGCTAGGAATGCAGCTGGCTGGGACTAAAGCTATGATGAGGAAAGAGCTGAGAGTGGGAACAGCTCAGCTTGATGTTGCATTTTAATGAAGGTGAGATTCAAAAGTTCAGTGCCAACGGTCAATACCTAACACCTACATTATTATATTATAAAATGGGATTAAGACAGCGAAAATCCCAAAGACTTCCCCAAAATTTTAGGGATCCCCAAAATCCCTAGACTTCCACTTCTAGGTTCTTTCTTATTTATAAGGTAACCGAATTGTATATATGAAACAAACCTATAAATTAAAATATTCCTGATAAACTACAAAACACAGCAAGATTCTAAAATATGAATAATTTGTATGAAAATATTTTTGAAAGCCTAGACAGTATAGGGAAAGAAGAAAAAAGAGAATGACTAAATGAATAATGCTAATACTAAAGTGAGTCATCAGTCAGTGTCCACCAGCAAAAGAGAGTCAAGAGTAACACAGAAAAGAGAAAAACAAACCGTTGTCAACTCCACTGGATAATGCACTGTTACATGCCTTGGGTATTTCTACTCATTGCCAGTATTTAATAAAACCCCTGCTTTCTCCTTAAGAAAACACATCTGTAGTTAGTGGCAAAGTTTTATCAAAAAGCAGATGCAATCCTCCACTGATTTTTAGGTATGAGGCATGCAACTTAAGAGTGATGGTAGAGATACTCTGAAAGCTACGAGAAAAAGTCACATTTATCACATCTTAAAATCTCTTTATCTATGATAAAGAACCTTAAGGTATAGCAAGAACTGAATGATTTAAATATAAGAATGCAAAAATCCCCCACTTTATTTGTGGCACAGGAAAAAAAAAGCAAAGAATTAAAAAGTGTTAAAGCTTACATTTAAAAGGACAAATGTAAAAATAATTTAGAAGAAAATAGGTTGTGTGTCTGGATCCAAAAGCTTTTCCAAAGTCAACACACTTTTAAATTAAAATTATGCTAATGGGAGAACATATTCACTGATACATCTGATAAGGGGTAAATATCCAAAATTTATAAAGTGCTTACAAAACTCAACACCAAAAAACCCAAACAACCCAATTAAAAAATGGGCAAAGAACCTAAATAGACCCAAAGAGGACCTACAGATGACCAACAGACACATGAAAAATGCTCAACATCACTAATCATCAGAGAGATGCAAATAACAACCACAGTGAGACACCATCTCACACCTGTCAGAATAACTATCATCAATAAATCAACAAACAAGTGCTGATGAGAACGTGGAGAAAAGGGAACCCTTTTGCACCGTTAGTGGGAATGCAGACTGCTGCAGCCACGTGGAAAACAGTATGGCGATACCTCAAAAAATTAAAAGTAGATCTACCTTTTGACCCAGTGATCCCATTTCTGGGAATATATCCAAAGGAACCCAAAACACTAATTCAAAAGAACATAAGCACCTCTTTGTTCACTGCAGTGTCATTTACAATCACCAAGATATGGAAGCAGCCCATGTGTCCATCAGTAGATGAGTGGATAAAATAGCTATGGGACATTGACACAATGGCATTCTACTTGGCCATAAAAAAGTAGTAAACTTGACCCTTTGCAACAGTATGGACAGACCTGGAAAACATTATGCTAAGTGAAATAAACCAATCAGAGAAAGACAAATACCACATGATTTTACTCATACGTGGAATCTAATGAACAAACTGAACTAACAAGCAAAACAGACACAGACTCATAGATGGAGAGCAGATGACAGCTAGTGGAGGAGAAGGTAGAGGTTAGGTAGGGTGTGGAGGGATTGAGCAAAAAGGAAAAAGGTCTCATGGACACAGACAACAGTGTGATGATGGCTGAGGGGAGGGGGTGTATAAAGGGACTAAATGGTAATGGAAAAATATAATAAAGATTATATATTTCAAAAAATATGCTACCATAAAAAATAAATTTTTACCAGAAATTATAAACACCCAAGTTCTAGTTTCATTTATTTTCTGCATAAAGGTGGGCAGCAGAATTAGAATAATAACTGAATTGAATAAATATGCATCTAGCAGATAATTTACACTGTAATAAACTGATGAACAAAAATATCATTTTCCCCACAGTAGTAGTATATTTATTTTGCTGAAATCAGGTAGTAGGGAATGAATAGCTCTGGGGAACCAGTACAGAACGTTCACAAAGATTTACAAATCTCTAGTCATTACACACTGAGCAGCAAAAACATAGGTGTTGAATCCTCTTAGGCCAAACTATTATGTGTTGCAAAGTTTCTGTAATTCTCATGACTGCATGCCTCAGGGAGGGGGAAGTGTGTAATTTTAATGCACAATAAATATTTTATAGTGTACAAATATTCTGAGACAGTTGGTCTGCAGAAGCAGCATACATCCTGCACATGCAGTTTTGACATCTTGAGAAATATAGAAATATTCATGCTTTTTTATCGGTCACATTTTCTCTTCCCATAATGATGCCTGTGCAATACCCCTAACATTTTCACCTGTGTAATGAGACACTGTACAGTTGTTCATATATATTACATAAAGTACTTCATTCACAAATAGCAAATTTAACTTTCTGGTTCTGACTACTCTTACTGTTATTCATTTTGTGTCTTAACAATTAACACCTTGTAACAATCAAGCACTAATTTTAATGATCTTTAGCACCAAGGAGTCAAGAATATTGCACCAAAATGGGTTTACACTTCATCTAGTTAATAAATAAGATCTTGCAACCCTATCACAAGGAAAATATCACTCCAAAATTAAACACATTGAAAGAGAATAGTTTCACAGAAAAGTCTGGTGTACGCCATTTGTAATAAAACAAAAACAAAAAACAAAAAAACACTAGTGGATTCAAAAGTTAATAAAGTTAATATTGAAATCTACATTAGAGGACTCCTTGATTTTTTTAATTAAAATTTATTTAATTTTAAATGTTCTTTCCAACAGAAGAGGTAGGTATATTTCCACATATGAAAACTTGGTAACAGCCACAAATCAAAACATTAAAAGTCTGATAAAAATCAACATACTGTCGTCTAACAGCACGTTTCTGTAACAATTTTATGATGTTACCAATAAAGACATGAGTTGTTTCGTGTTCCAATCAGACATTAATCGTAATTTGCATAATATATATTTCTGATAGAAGTATTGAAAGGCTGCGTTTAAGTCGCAAAACTGTTTCCCACAGTGATTTGTGCCACAAGTCACGGCGACCTTTGGGTCGCTACACAGGATTTTACTGTAATTCTTTTTTTCACCAACACCATCATCATCAAGCCTCTAAAAGTCTATAGAGATCATCAGATTTTTTAATTTAATTACAACCAAAAGGGTATTTCAGACTAGTGGTGGAGAGATTCAACCATTTCAGTCAGTCAGCAAATGAATTCAAATGTGCAAATTTTAAAGTATCTGCATGTCCAGCTTTGGACCAGAAAAATGTAGGGTAACTGATTTTAATCAGTAAGTAATTAGTAATTTAGCCAAAAAAAAACTCATAAAGACTGTGTTTCTGTGATCATCAGACTGAAGAATGACTGTATATAAGATACATGAAAAATTTCATGCATTAGACAAATGGATGTGACAGAGAGCCTCCAAAGTTACATAATAATTGCTTTGGTCTAGACAATATCAAAGCTAATAAAAAATGTTTAAAATAAAAACTTCATAAATAAAACATCAGGGTACAGTATTTAACACTTTACTCAATCTAAAGGTCACTAATACATAGGAGCACATTTGCCTTTTTCCTCCCCACCCCGAAACCCTCATTTGCTTCTGTTTTCCCTGAAATCTTATATGAGACGGGAAATTCCTCACTGGAGTCAACAACAGTTAAGGCCCAGTTCAATTTACTCTCCTTTTGCTTTTCCATTTTTCTGCTTTTTTCCATTTTCTACCACCAGTTTTTCTGATTTGTTCACACCATTGGCTGAAATACCATTCACAGCTGTTTTCCCCGTTTTTGACTTCTTGGGCTCATTGTATGTCCGAACGTAGAAGTTGAGGAAGAGAAATATGAAGCTGATCGCATAGGCAATCAGAGCCCAGTGCATCCACTTGGGGAAGGGGCAATCCGTGTAGAGAGACAGTGCCGTGTGCCCGATGGTCACAAAGAACTGAACCTGGAAAACAGAAACAATGCATGGTAAATAGTAAACAGCTTCAGAACCTTCTATGTAGCTAATACAGACCCAACTTCTGCCACATTGTCCAAAGTTTAATAGTTCTCTGGCTCCCACTCCTACCTCCTTCTCATTGAGGTAGCTGCTTGAATGCCATCTCCTCAATAAGACTTCCTGATGATGATAGAACTACAGTGCCTCCCCCCAACTGGCCATCTCAAGTCCATTTAACCACAGGGCTTTTGTTTTGTATGGGTTTTCTTTTCTTCTCTTCTTTTTTTTTTACTTTATATGAATTATGGCTGTCTGGAATTGTCTTTTGAATTTAGTGACTTCTGGATCACCCATCTTCCCACTAGCATGTAACTCCAAAGGTAGGACCCAGTGTTGCTATGGTGATTCCATAAGTATCTGTTGGATAATGTTGAGTAATATTATCTAATGAGAGGAAATTTCAGTGTCTCCCACATTTTAGACTGATTATTTCTTTTTTAAAGATTTTATTTACTTTAGAGAGAGGGGTAAGGAAGGAAAAAGAAAGGGAGAGAAACACTGATGTGTGAGACAGAAACATCGATGGCTGCCTCCTGCATGCGCCCCAACAGGGACCGGCCTGCAATTCAAGCATGCACCCGGACTGGGAGTCAAATCAGTGATCTTTTATTTTGCAAGACAAGGCTTAACCTACTAAGCCACACCAGTCAGAATGAGACTGATTTCTTTCCACAAAATTGTCAGCAAGCTGGTATATATATTTTTAAAAATGAACTTCTTACAGAATAGCAGACAGGTCATAGGCATTTGGATGAACACTATCATTTAAAAACTAAGATGCCTATTAAAAGTTAGTAGGTAATTGAGAATAAGTGCAAAAAGAGAGAATCACTTTCAACCTGAAGAGTTTTTAAAAGGAGAAAGGCCAAAATTAAGATGCTTTTCAGTAAGTTGAGGGAAATAAGTTTAAATTCTAATTTATCCATAAGTGAATGGTTCTCAAAATAAAAGTTATAAATTTCATGGTGTTAGCAAGTGCTAAGTCTTTACCAGACTGATCTACAAAAGTAAAGAACTTCTGGATTGGAAATATACTACCCTTCATAAAATGAATATACAATTTGGAAAGTAGAGTTGTGGTTTCTCTTTTAAGCATAGCATTAACAGTATTATCATATTAAATATTATTAAAATAATTTAGTTCAGGTAAGCCCCAAATTTATTAAAAACTTTAAAAATTTTTCCAAATCCAGAGTTTAAGAACTTCTGATTTCACAATGGTTCTTAGAATCTGTATCACCTAAAAAGGGTGTGTGTATGTGGGTGTGACTGAGGATGGCATCACTCAAGGAGGGTCAGGTGCAGGTTCCGACAAAATAGGTATCAATAGTTCATGTGAGTTTTGTCATCTCTTTATTTTGGGGGGGGAATTTACTAATTACTGAGAGAAATGAATTATACAATTGTGTACACAGCTTTCACAAAAACTGAAGGAAACTTCCTATGGCATTTTAGTTACGAATCAATCCTTCACACCCAGCAGTTCCCCAAAGTTGTGTTTCCTGTTTGGTTACAAGTTTAGCAACTTCAAGCAGAGATGAATAATATTTCCAAATGTGATTCCACTGATAAAATTGTGTACATACTATGATTAAAGCAAATTATAATAAAATCCAAAGCTTGAAGAATAGCTACCAGGTTGGTGTGGATTTCCAGTTTGATTACTGGGCTAGTGTCTAGCTCTGAAAGTTACACCGAAGCACCCAAATGCTACATGAAGTCCTACTGGGGTTCGTGCTAAAGGCTGTCTGCTCTAAAGACTAGCAATTTAAAAATGCCCAGCTCTGCTCCTCAAGGACTTCATGTTGGAGAACTAAGAGGAGCTCTCTGGTCCTTGCTTCCTTCCTTTACCCCTATCCTTCTTTGACTCTCTGCCTTTTCTGCAACTTTTATAGTATAAATGTATGGGATTTGTTATCAAGGACTGAAAATTGAACAGTAAACAGAATGAATAGAGATGATAATAACATTTTAATTAAAAAATTTTAAAGATCACTCAAGAAAGGTGTCATTATTTTTCTAGTCATATATGAGTCTATGTACTTTGTGGTGTTCTTAGATCTTTATTCACCCACTTCACAGACATTTTTAAAGAACAGTTCTCTTAGACATGAGCTAGTCTAATCTTTTATAGACATTTAAAAAGCGAAAGGCCATAACCAGTGGGCCTATGAACAGGCCAAGCGGCCTCAATCCCACAGATGAAGCATAAAGATAGTTGAATTTGCAATAAAAATTTGTCAAAAGTGACTTAATACTTTATAATCAGTAAACTCAAACATTTTCAGTATTGCCCCAGATGAAACTTTAGAAGCATTTAACTCACCAGCTGCAACATGGTCAGGTATCGTTTCCACCAAAGATATTTCTGAATCCATGGGCCAAAGGCAGTTAACCCGTAGTAAGAGTACATAATCACGTGGATGAAGGAATTCATTTGGGCTCCAAAAAATGCTTTAGAAAAACAAAGATAATTACAAGATACAGAAAATTTTATTAGGCAATAAACCATTTGGACACGAAGTAAATGAGTGCACATTATTTTTTAGCAATCTTGAGTAAAGAGTAGGAATAAAAGTTGTAACACTACTGGAAAAGCCTTCTCTTCAGATCATGCTAGACATTTTTAAAATGCAGATTCAGGCTTTTCACATACTTTAAAAAGATGCTCTTCAAATGCAAAGGACTTTCAAAGTAGCAAGCTTTTGAATGGGGTATTCCAGTTTAAGTAGGCCCTAATATAGAACTATTGCCTGTGTTACTTTTTATTCTATTATTCATGGGGGAAAAAGGGTGGGAGGGGGGAAGGCTGGGGTGGGAGGGAATAGTGGGGGAAAATGGAAACAACTGTACTTGAACAACAATAAAAATGTGAAAAAAGTCATAGTATATATAATGGTTTAAGTAATTTTGTAACCGTCACATTATTGCCTTTACATACAAAAATATACATATCTACAAAAAGAGTACTGACTTCTTAGGCTTCTAAATAATTTTAAGTGGAAAGTAGTGAGGTGAACTGGACTATTATAATTTGTACCGTGGGTCCCCATGAGAGGAATGGCCTATTTCCACTTGATAATGTAAATCGCCCTCAATCTACAGGTTTCTGAGCAGCTGGAGGCAGATCTCAGCCGAATATGGATTCCTATTATCTTTAACGTCAACATGTCTCTACACAACTTCCTTGAAGTGAGAACCAACAGGCCGAGTTAAGGCCTATTTTAAAGGTGGAGTGGGCTCTGGGCTTGGACCAAAGAGGAAGCCTTCACACTGAGAAGATAAATCTTGGTGTCCTTTGGATCAGAACCACTAGAATTGCTCCCCATCAAAATATTATTGTCTGCATTTAGAATTACCTTATGCTCATCTCTGGGGCAAATCTTTAGGTGTTAAAGTAGTCACAAACAGAAAGCTAAAGTTTTACTTTCTTCAAATTTCTTTAAAATGAAATTAACATAGAAATAATCACAAAACAAGTTCAATTATAGACCAACTCAAGTTCCCAGGTTCTTACTACTTTCCACCCAACATAGTTACACAATTTAATGCATACAGATATGCTTTTGAAAATTCTCACCTTGCCCCCCTGCAACCCACTTAATTCCAATCCACCACAACGTAAACATTGTACAGTGATGGTACACATGAAGGAAAGAGACTTGGTTGTTTTTCTTTCTTAGGATAAAAAACACCGTGTCCAAATACTCAATTCCTTTAGATACAAAGTACCACCACAGAGCAGCAGCTATCTGTAAAAAGAAAGAAAAAGGACATTACAAACACCAGATGCATGCCACCACATGGTTTCCTACTCACTGTGTGTAAGTCCTAAATAATTTTCACTACACAAACACATGAAATCATTTTTGCCTAAGTAGGTGTAAAATCAAGTCATCTATCCATGGGGGCAAATGGGAAAGACCAGAGTCCAAACATATATCTACTCTATAGCAACAGTACAGAAAAAGTGTCATGTTACCGAGCTGGACCCCTGTAGCACTAAAACTTAGAGAGCTGCAAACACATTCATGGTGCTATGTTTTTCAATTTGGTAGCGAAACTGAGGTATTTATTTTGTAAATGTACCTCAATTGTTCATGCTTAGCCTACATTATACCTCAGATATTCCTACAAGGATGTTTATAGGTAGCGACTGGTCTCTGTTATGTCTCTCTCACTTTAACACATGCAAACAAAGCACTTAACCATAGTAGTTTGCATTAGCCAGTAAAATCTTTAAAATGATAGAATGACATGAACAAAAAGAAACAACGAATATTTCCTAGGTGATAAAAATAATCCTGCTTACATGAACAAGTCTTTTCTTTTCCTGGGCTCTAATTAAGACACCAGATGGTGCAGAAAGATTACTGTCCATGCTGAGATTAAGGATCCAAGGTTCCAATGAGAGGTGACCTCTGGATATATATTTTTAAATATTTTATAAGAATTCTATAATAGTGACCTAAACTCAACTTTCCCATGTCAAATATTTTCTAGGATATGTGTCCTCAGCATATGTAACAAAGCAGGCAGTGCGTAACCGAATAAACCTTCGTGCGTCGGGGGCTTGGCAGGTTTACTCACAGACAGGCGCTGATGTTTTAGGGTTCATAGTTCCCTTTCTCATCTTATCCCTGCACCTACTGGATGTCATAAGTTCTTGTGTGTTTGTGTTCTTTTGAAAAACAAAATTATACAAAGTGTGGGCCAAAGAGAAAATAAAGTCTTGTATTTACAGGTTGAGGATGTTTACTGAATTTGCTTGAGTAATAAAATTTGAAAATTATAAAATTGGTAGAAAATAGGTTTGAAATAGTTAACTACTCACAGCAACACAATATTTAATAGTCATTTCTATGCTAGCACTTTAAAATAAGGTAACCATTTTGGCATAGTAAACTTGATCTATAAGGTAAGAGATCATTAATGTCTTTATCCCCTCCCCAATCTGGGCTTCTAAATTAGCCACAATTTATGAACAGTAATAAATAATTCCTATCTTTCATTTGTAAACTGCATCAGGTATCTCTGAAGAGCTACATCAAAGTGAAAAGTGATAATTCTTGTACATAACAACACATACAAAAACCGATGTCTGAGTAAAGTATTTATTCTACAACATCTAATATTGAAAGGACGAGAGAGGGAGGAAATTTCAAATGCAATCTGTTGGGAATGTCTGGTTCTTCCTTATCCTAGATTACAGTCCTCACAATAGCTAATGTTTTTAAAGTACTGACTTTTTATGCATGCCAGAAGGGTGGGTTCACAATGGCCAGAATAGTATTTTTAAATCTTTATCCTAAGAATGTTAGTATGTTGTTTCACCCAAGGGTTTTTCCTACGTGAATTCCTAAAAGAAAACAAGTTACACTTCTTCCTTTTCCTCTCCCACAAACCAAGCAAGACCACTGAAGTCAGGTCTCTACTCTACTGAGGAGGTTCTCTAACAAGATAGTTATCTGAAATTTTTTTTTCCTAGCCTACAAATCTAAATAAAGTACTCCCCTCATTCTCTCTTGGTCACATCACAGGTTTTATTTTCTTGTTAATCCTTTGTTTACATGACTACTGCTCGCCTCTCCCACCCTTCACTAGAATGTCAGCTCCACAAAGGCCTGGATCTTCTGTCCTTCCACCAGTGTCCCCAGTGTCTCTCACACTATCTGCATGTGACTGGTGTTTGGGACACATACAGTGAATGAATAAAGCAAGTATGACAACCAAAGGGGTGATGTTTTTCATCAGCACGGAAGTCTGATGGCACAGTAAAGACACAGACATATCATGGTAAATACATTAAGCAATCTGATCTTAGGTCTTGATGAATGCTGACCTTTACATTATCCAACCCCAATGAAAAAGCTATTTTTCTCAAGGGAAGCTGCTATATATTATATTACTACTACATATATTACATGCAACATAAAACATGTTTATTTATGTTTTATGTACACACAATTTTAATATAAACCACAGTATACAAGAGTAGTTTAATAAATACTTAATAAAAATGAGATAATTTATTGTTTCTTGCACATGAGTAAAATGTTAATTTAGCTAATGTAGGTGGCTGGGAAGTAAATTGTGCTAACATTCTATAACTATTGGTTTATTTTTTTGCAAATATAATAAAAGCTGAGCCCATACCTACACAAATTGTGCTATACTTAACTTACAAAACACTGCATAGCTTATAAAACATGTTTTTTCCCTCAGACTTTCTGAACAAAGAATTAAAGTCTCTGCAGGCATTTTTATTCTTGATCAAAAAACAACCAAAATCTAAAATATCTTTACACTAAACATGGAACTTTTTTTTAAAAAAGTAATTTATTCTAGTAATCCAACACGTATTCACTCTCACACCACCAAATGAAAGAACTGGAGGCATAAAAACAGATTTTTAATTACGTACTTAAAAAAAGCATAGCTTTACTGGCTCAGAACAACCCAGTACACTGTTACCATTATATAAAAGTATGTTTTTTTGCAGACTGGGGACTATAAAATTAGACCCACTGTGATCGATTTAGAGAATTTCCAATGTACTTACTCTGACTTCATTCACATTATCAGAATAATCCACACTCTGGCAAATATAGCTGTATCCTGCATTATATGATCCCAGGAATAACTGAAAAAAAAAAGAGCAATATTCGGACTAAAGTTTTAATACATAAAGCATTTAAAAACACTAAATACAATATGTAATCTTTGAAATAATTTTAAAAACCAGTGCTGTCTTTAAAATTTTGAATGTATTAAACATTTAATGTGTTAGAATTTTTAAAATTTACTGTGTGGATTTATTCTCAAATTGAAATCTAAATTAAAAATCACATATAATTTTTGCACTAAAACATAATTCTATCTATTTCATAATATTAAGAGAAACTTCGATTGACCATTACTCAGATCTAAGAGCTGCACTGATTTCTAGTCTTGATCCAGAGTTGTTTGCATCTAACAAATTAGGTAAAAGCACTAAATAAAGTTGTTTTTTACCAAGTTGAGATTCTGTACCTTATGTTGTCAGTTAAACAAAAAAAGTTTTTTTAAGGAGAATGCTATTTATTTTCCTACCATCACCAGACCAGTTCTCTCCATTCACACAGAACGCTAATGAAAAGTTTTCTGGGAAACAAATTCCTTTCATTCATAACTTAAAAAACAGCTGTATCCATCTAGTCTTTAGGCTTTCCCTTCATGGAGAATTTGCGGGTACCCAGAAAAGTATAGATCATTAGTAGCAATAATTGTGTAACAATTAACTCCAATCCAAAATACAATGACAGTAAGAAATAGAAGTTAATTTGAAATTGGTATGTTACACTTGCATATTCTGATAACTTACAAACCTGAAACTGCTGAGTACGAATTACAAATAAATATATGCAACTATTTACTGAGTGTTTAACATGTGGTAAACACCATGCAAAAATTATCTCACTTTTATCTCTGATACCCTAGGATACAGGCATTTTCCCCATTTTATGGAGAAACAAGTCTCAGAAAAATTAAGTAACTTCCAATGTCAGAAGAGCTCATAAGGGTTTTTTTAGAATCCAGTCTGTCTGCTTCAAAATTCCATTTTCAACACGTGTCCTATACCTTATATATGTTTTATATTTTTTGTTATCCAAAATGAAAAGTGTCAATAATATAAAATTTACTTTTAGAGTAACTAACAGTTGTATTGGGGTACGATGTCACAATGATGGTTTTTCATATTCTTACAGTAAACCTACCTCTCTGAAGATAAACAAATTAAGCAAAACCATCCCAAAATTATAGACAATAAGCACCAAGCGCATCTGAAAAGGTTCTCGGGCCTTCATCCACTTCGGGCCCAGCCACACGAATAGGAGATAAAGAGTACTTATACAAAGCGTAGGCCATGGAGAGTGCATTAGAGGCCAATTTTCCACACGTTTATCTACAGAGAAAACAAAATAACATAAAATTAATTAAAAAATAAATGTCTTATAAAATGAACTTATTAGGGATTATGTTTCAAATTAGTTTTCCTAATGTGACCAAATACAGATCACTGTCCTTTGAATTCCAGCAAAAATATATGGCATAAAACCCAAAGAAACTAGACCAATTCTTGTGAGCAACTTTTGAAAATGAAGCTTTATTATGTATGACACACATTATGTTTTATAGGAAATCTAGAGAATGAAGACAAGAAATAGAGCTCACTAAAAATGTGGAACAAATTTCAGATAAGTAATGAAAGCCTCCACAGACAGAAAATACTAAATATTCTAAGGAGAAACGTGTCTTCCATATTAAACATGTGAAATCCATCAGTGCAGTTTGGAGGCTGCTCCCTCCTATGTCTGAGATGGTCCGAACTAGTAACCTGAAAAAGTACGGAGAAATGAGAGCCATTTCCTGGGATGGTTCTGGACACAGAAGACAAGAGTACAGTTATAACTGGATGACTGTTAGATATCATTACAGTTTTGTAATTCATTTAAATGCTAATCATAACATTCAAGTCATTTTTCTAACTTTTTCCTTAAAAATGTTAAGTCTATTTTTTTACCCATGAATATAACTAACTTATAAATATATACATATAAAATGCAAAATTATTTCATTTAACATGAATAAAATACCCTTAACATTTAAATAAGCAACCATGAATCAATTTTACAATATTTCTGCCACAAGTAAAAGATTTCATGAAAATAAAATATGGGGTTAACAAAAATTAATTTTCTAATACATTATAAAAAGATACTGAAATTAAATCATATTTCTAAAAGCTAAACAGCATTTAAAAGGTTGTGAATCTAATGTGTAGTTTATTCTTGGTAGGGCAAAACATTTCTATGTTCTATTTTCAGAAATATTATATAGTTTTAAAATAGTAAAAAAAAAAATCTACCTTTCAGCCAGTTCCTAAACCTAACTGCAATAAGTTTAATTTACTTGCTCATTACAATGTCCTCTATTTAAACTGTACGTTTTACTAAAACGATATATGTAAAATAGTTCCAGATTGGATAATTACATCTCAAACTACCTTACTTTAAAATAATCTATTTCTGTATACTGTCAGTAGAAAATAGATCCAAGACATGAAACACGAGTTGAACAATATCTAAACATAGTCTCCAAAGTCAGCAAGTGACATAATAACTATGGTTTCTACAATATCAGAGTTGTTAGAATGGTGTAACAGTGACCTAAAAGAAAAACACATATGAGAACAAGAAATATGAATTTCTTTCATAGTTTATAGGAGACCTATTATCTATCTATACATCTATGGTTCTATCAGTCAAATCAAAATGTACTTCAGAACTAAAATTAACTAAAATACTTAAAAAGGCAGGAGCGAGAGAGTGAATCTCCCACAAGGAGTGAAGCAGTGGCTTTGTGCCTGAAGGCGTTGTGCTACTAAGGGCCTATCACTGCTTGTTCGCTTTTCTTTAATGTTGTCATGTTACCCTTCCATGACCACATCTTTCTATGCCAATGGCCCCCTTAAACATGGGGTATTTATCTGCTTAGATCTTTGTTTTCTATGTTATAGAAAAACTGTACTACAGCCCCCTAAACCTCAAAGCTGCTCTACCGCAGATCACTAAAGGAGTTGCTGTGGTGTGCTATTCCTAGCCCCAAGCTTAAAGGCAGGTACTGTTTTCCATAAGATTGACACAAAGAGCTAAAGGACTCCTTTAAGCAATAATCTATGCAACAAAGAAAGGAAGATAAATTAATCTGTAAAGAGGTTCTAATTTCTACCACCATAGGCTATTTCTCACTCTTACCACACACAGAATTCCTACTGACTTCAAAGAAGCTCTGAGATGGAGGTATAGGTAGACATGCTTCACTTCCTCACATAGCCACAAAAAGAATTACAACTAAATCTCAAAACAAGTAACACCCAGAACTGTCAGAAAATCAAACTGTGTGGAAGACTGACACCAAAGAAGCCACATTTAAGCCAAATAGGTAGTAGGGGCGGAGACATGGAGAGAGGACAGAGAGGTAAGGAGACCCTGTGTGCTGCAGAGCTGGCAGCAGGGGCAGAGCAGGCACGGGCGGTCCCGCATTCACATGCAGTGGATAAGAATCAGGAGGGCTACCTTGGGAGCCAGCAATCCCAGCCCCAAGCCAGACTGCACAGCACAGGGCTCCAGCACCAGGAAGGTAAATCCCCATAACTTCTGGCTGTAAAAACCAGTGGGCATTGAGGCAGCAGAACAAACTGCCAGATTTTTCAGAAAACTCTGCTTAAGGGGTCTTAAAATGTCTGCAAACCCACCTACTCTGGGATTCAACACCAGAGCAACAGCTGGAAGGGTACCGGTCACATACGGGGTATGAGTGAAGTGACTGGAAACCCAGCGAGTGAGCCCCCAGAAGCCAGGCTGTGGCACAGCCCCTCTCCAAGACCTCCTCCCACACAGAGCTACAAACCAGTGAAGTTGGTTGCCCTACCCTGACGATTACCTAAGGCTTCTCCCTGCAAAATTTACGTGTGTCTTTCACAGGGAGTCAAAGCAGCTCTACCTAATACACAGAAACAAACATAGGGAGGCTGTCAAATTGAAGAGACAAAGAAATATGGCCCAAATGGAAGAAAAGAACACAACCCCAGAAAAAGAACTAAATGAAATGGAAATGGCCAGCCTATCAGGCGCAGGGTTCAAAACACTGGTGACCAAGATGCTCAAAGAACTTACTGAGTATGGCAACAACATAAGGGAAGGAATGAAGGTTACACTAAGTGGAATACGGAAAAATATACAGGGAAGGAAAGGAAGCCAGGATTCAAATCAATGATTTGGAACATAAGGAAGAAATAAACATTCAAATAGAACAGAAAGAAACAAGAATTTTTTTTAAAAAATGAGAATAGTATAAGAAGACTAGGGGACCCCTCCAAAAGTGCCAACATCCAAATCACAGAGATGTCAGAAGCAGAAGAGGAAGAGCAAGAAATTGAAAACTTATTTGAAAAAAATAATGAAAGACTATGGGTCCCATATACAAGTTCCTTGACTTCAAAAAAATAATGAAAGAAAACTTCCCTAATTTGGTGAAGGAAATAGACATACAAGTCCAGGAAGCAGAAAGAGTACCAAGCAAGTTGGACTCAAAGAGGACCACACCAAGACATCATAATTAAAATGCCAAAGGCAAAAGATAAAGAGAGAATCTTAAAGGCAGCAAGAGAAAAGAAAATAGTTACCTACAAAGGAGTTCATTCCCATAAGACTATCAGCTGATTTCTCAAAAGAACTTTGCAGGCAAGAAGGTACTAGCAAGAAGTATTCAAACTGATGAAAAGCAACGACCTACAACCTGGATTACTCTATCAAGCAAAGCTATTATTTAGAGTGGAAGGTCAGATAGAGTGTTTCTCTGACAATGTAAAACTGAAGGAGTTCATCATCACCAAGCCATTATTACATGAAATGTTAAAGGGACTTATTAAAAAAGAATAAGATTAAAACTATGAACATTAAAAAGGCAATAAATTCACAATTATCAACTGAATCTGCAAAAACAAAAACAAAATAAAACTAAGCAAACAACCAAAACAGGAACAGAATCATAAATATGGAAATATTTGGAGGGTTATCAGTTGGAAGGGGGAAGGGGTTGAATGAAGGAAAAGGTACAGGGATTATGAAACATAATTGGTAGGTACAAAATAGACAGGGGGACATTAAGAATAGTATAGGAAATGGAGTAGCTACAGAACTTATATGCACAACACATGGACATGACCTAAGAAGGGGGGGACTGCTGAAGGGAAGGGGGGTACCAGGCAGAGGGGGCCAAAGGGGGAAAAACTGGGACAACTGTAATAACATAATCATTAAAATATACTTAAAAAGGCAAGTTCTGAGCAGAAGTAAATAAACTTACAGAAATAGGTCCAAAAACTGCCCTGAAAACAAGATTACAATGGAATACTACACAGCAGAAAGAAAGAAGGAGCTCTACCCTTTGTAACAGCATGGGTGGAACTGGAGAAGATTATGCTAAGTGAAATAAGCCAGGCAGTGAAAGACAAATACCATATAATCTCACCTATAAGTTTGACCTAATTGACAAAACAAACAAATGAGCAAAACAGAACCAGAGCCATGGAAGTAAGGAACAAACTGACAGTGACCAGAAGGGAAAGGGAAGGGGGTAAGGGGGAGAGTCGAAGAAGGGGGAAGGCAAGGAACACGAATAGGGAACTCATGGGCACGGACACTGGGGGGCAACTGACTGTGTGCAAGGGGATAGGGCAGGAGAGGGCAATGGGGGAAAAGGCTGGACAACTGTAACTAAACAACAATAAAAAAAGGAAAAAACAAATAAAAGTCTGGTCTTTTTGATGTATAGTGTGTGTGACCCGTACTATTCTCTTATTCAACAGAAAAAATTAAAGAGAACTAACAGAGAGAGAAAGAAGAAAGAAGCCGAAGACCTGACAACATGAAACAGAGAGAGGCCGACAGAGGAGTAGAAAGGTGGAGCAGAGCAGACAGAACAGATATAAGAGAAATCATGCGAGACTTTATCAGTAAACAGGGTTTTAATGCCAGCTCTGTGCTGTGCATGGGCGCAGTGTCTTCATCTCCTTTCACCTCCAAAACCTGACAGAGAGGTCAACTAGATCAGAGCTTCTCCAACTTTAATGAGAAGAAGAATCAACCACCTGGGGTCAGAAGGGAGAATGTTAAACTGTAACGTGTGACTCAGTAGATCTGGGGTGTTACCAATTGTTAGGAAGATTCTGCATTTTAGTTGGCTAGAAAGCGCCAACTGATGTAATGCTAATATTCCATGGACCACATTTTGAGTACCAAGAAACTAGATGATTCCTTAAGTTTTTTTTTTAACTTCTGAAAATTGTTACTCTTTAAAATAATAGTTAGGAGGAAAAATGGAACTGAAGGTGAGGAAAAC